TGATTTTGTTAGCCGTCACTATAATAATTCAAATTCTCGTTCACCTAAATACTAAGTATTATAGAAACTAGTTTAGAAAAACTGAACTTTGTCAAACTATTAGCAATCTAGTTTGAAGCAGTTGACTGACTAGTGCCCATTCTAATTTTCAATTTCTAAGTGGAGCACGCTGAGGTTTGCTTTTAAGATTGAGCTAGGCAAAGACTGTTTATGTGACAATGCCCAGCCCAGATCCCAAACCTTTAAATTCCTAGCTGGGAAGGAGCTGATGGAGCTCTAAGTAATTGTGGGGGAGATAAGCATCATACTGAAAAAATACTGTATTAGGAAATAAATACTATTAATTATAAAATGTGTATGTTGGAACAGCAGTCAGACTAAAATCCAGGATATTTTTCTATTCAAACATATCTTCAGGTTCAAAGCCAGTACTAAATATTCAATTTGTTAGAAAGTTCCTTCTGGTGTTCTTGTTGGCTCTGCATTCTGTAGCTGAACATTTGATAGAGAGTGGAAATACTTTGACACTTTGGCTTAATGTTAAAAATGGACTTTCTGCAGTTTATTATTCATATATACATGAAAACAGGGATCATTAATCCAATATAGAATTGTGTAAATTAAGCATCCTGTGTGTTTGCATGTTGGGAAGGTCGTGTTGCTGGACAGATGTGGTCACTGGGGAATTTGAGGGTTTTAACTGTTGAGGAATGGTGAAGTCTTACATCCAGGGAAGAATTCAGGGTTTTGTCTTCGGCAGTTCTGGATGCTAAAGTAGTTGCTTCACTACAGACAGTTCTGCTGTTTTAAATACACCTAGCCATCTAATTAGCAGTACTATCAGAAGATAATTCAGGAGGAGGAAAACAATTTTATCTTTGGGTCACTGATTAGTTCTGTAGTGCAGGGACACCTCGCTGCTATTGTAATGATGGGCTTAACTGTTGAAAGCTACCCCTTCCCCAATAGTTAGAGAGTTGACATATATGTATAATAGGGGGGAAAATAATTTCTGTTTGTTGTGGAACTTGTTCTGACAAAACTGCTAAAGCTAGTGCAGTCTTCCAAAGACTATCTTTGGGACAGGCAGAGGTCAAATCTGAAGACAGAACTCAGCAAGGCCATGGTCTTGACCACCTTGAACTGTGCTTTTTACCTTGTAGGAGTCAAGAGATTTACTATTTGAAATTAATCATCAGAGAAAAAAAAAATCCCATCTTACAAAATATTCTAAGCAATATGTCAGTATACTTTGTCTTAACCATAGATCTGAGAAGGTTATTCATGTGAGCAGTGGAAAAGGTGCATAACACCTTAAAAAATCAGTTAATAAAATACTTGTTTAATGGCGGATGGGCCTATGAATGTAAGATGTATAAGACATAATGCAAAATAAACTACTTTTTAGAGCCAAAATACTAAGCACTTGAGTATGGACGCCTCCAAAGGAAAAATTTGGGATGAAAATCAGCCCATTTCAGCATACCTACTGAAAGCACTAAGCACTCAGTTTATGATCGCGTGTAACTTGTGATGCTTTCTGCAGTACTTCTGGCTACACAGTTTTTTCTGGGTTTGCACTTGTGAAGAAAGCTTTACCCAGCAGGGATCAGTAGGTTAAATGCCTTTTTTTTTTTTTTTTCTTTTCTTTTTTTTTGTTGCCCCCCCCTTCAAGCATTTCTTAATTTGTAAGGATCACTTTGAATTCTAATCCTGTCTCAGAAGTGCTTGGTGCTCCTTCACTCTCTGGTTTGACTTCAGGCAGGTTCTTCCAGACTCCTGCTTGACAACCGTAGCAGTTTACCTGTGAACCGCTAGCCACTCCTTTGATTATGGTTTTACTTTGCTACTTTATAGTATTTCTTTCTAGATCACATTTGTCTGACTTACTTAGGAAGATGTCATGTAAGATGCATCAAAGCCATATGAAAAACAAGATATGATGAATTTTGGTGTTGATATAATGTGGCTACGCTTGAGAAACAAATGCTGGAAATACGTCAGTGCTGTTCTGTGATGTGTGGACTCTTGTTACATTGACGTAACAAGA